CCATCCCTGGAAGTATTTAAAATACGTGTAGATGAGGCGCTTAGGGACATGGTTTAGTGGGCATGGTGGTGTTGGGTTGACGGTTGGATTCGATGATCTTGGAGGTCTCTTCCAACCTTAATGATTCTATGATTCTAATAGGGATAGTAACCTCTGGTGTGATACACTTGTTTCCATTGCTTTGTTAGTCCCCTTGACTGAAGGCTGTAGTCCAGAGATAAAGACGGTGTAACTGCTTTTTTCTTTTGCTTCAAAAAGTTCAATACCATCATCTGGAAATGCTGGGTTATTTAGACGTTTTATTTACAGTCCTGTAAATTCTTCATGTTCTTTGACCGCAGATTTTGACTGTCTTCTGCAAAATTTTGAATGGTGATTTTTTTTTTTTTTGTGTGCAAAGTTTTGACTTCAAACTTACTCTTATTTTCTAGCTTGTATAATTTCAACAAGGCCTTTGCCTGAGAAAGTTACTAAGTTTGGGTATAGGGGTAAGGGTTCTCAAGTCTCTGATACTATGGCACATGCATGTTGCAGGCAAAATATTTATCAAAATGGCAATAAGCCATTTGATAAATTCATTGCAGAATATATTAATGTACCAAATGTAAACTTTTATGCCCTGGACATTGTTTTAATTCCTTTGACATGCTAACAATTCAGGCAGAAGTAACAATTTCTCAGTAGAACTGTACCCTAAGCTGGTAGCCTAATGCAGCGTTGTAGGTTTTCTCATCGGTGGCCCACTTCACAACAGGTCAGTGTGGCTGGTAAACGGGGCAGGAAAAGTTCGGTGTCCGGCGTTAAACAGCTGGACTGTGAGGAGTAAATACTGAGCTTTGAGCCCAGGAGGAGGAGGTTGGGGTGCCTGGATGAGTGAAGCACCTAACAATTAGAAGCGGATGGACAGACCAAAGAGGTGCTCAAGGGTGCTTGAAATAGTCTACGTAAGTTTATGACAGATGCCAACTTGGAGGTTGTTTGGTATACAGATGACTTTAAGTCCTTGAATTTTGTATGTTGAAAGTTGAAAAGGTCATATTTGGAACAATTTTTTTCTGATTTTTAGAATTATGTAAGAAAAAAATGTAACAATATCAATGATGGTAGGTAGGGGGTGTAAAATATCAATTCAAGGTTATGAAATAAAATTGAATGGGAGGTACAGTTAAACAATATGCTTCATGTGGTAACTAGCTACTCTTGTCCGTTTTTATAACGTATTCTTTCAGGCCGTTCATATCGTCTATCAGCATTGTCGACACTATATAAGGTAACTTGTTGGGAAATTTAGCGTAGGATAGCAGTGGCAAAATGAGTTAATGTAATGGCCAGCGTCATTTAAGTATGTATGTGAATATCCTGAAGTAGTTATAGTTTATGACTGTGCCCACCTATAAGACAGCTACTTCTCAGATGACTGTAAAATTTATATCTGTGTTTGCTAGTGTTGTAGTAATTTCTCATTTATTTTGCTTAGCTTTCAAAGGAAGGAAAAAAAAGTCTAACTGGTATTTCAGTTCAGTTCCTGCCAATCCAAATAACCTCGGATATATTTTGTGCTGTCTTGCTGGCGTCAGAGCAGTGCCTATGTGACTTAGAGCAGTATCTAGCACCGCCTGAAGCTATATTGCTATGTATCAGTATCATTAAATCCAGTATTTCTGTCTCAGTGCCTGACATCTGCACTGTGCTCATAGAAATAAGAGGACGGTTGACTTTTTAGGGGTATAATTTGCAGTAAATAAAATTCTGAATAGGCCGGGGGGGATGGGACAGGGGGAGAGGATCACTCGTAGTGACTCCTTGAATTATGACTGCAGCTTAATGTTACAAGGGTTCTAGTCACCTTTTGTTTATATAGGCTAATAATTTTCCTGTTTTCTTCCCCTTTAGGAATGTCAGTTTGCATTCCTTGTCAGCGATCAAAGTCAATTTTGAAAGTTTGAATAAAAACTCTGTAGGGAATTCTGAGTTATGGGAAAGAAAAAAAATAAAACCTGTTTCTGAGATCACCCCCCAAAGGGAAAGCACTTACAAAGTATAGGTATAATCCTGCTAAAAGTGCTGGCCTTTGTTTAAAATAAGAAAGGGGGGAAAAAAAATCAGTTCTGAACATTAAAGAGGCTCTCCAATCTGTGATGACAATACACTTTTCTTCTCTCAGAATTAATGGGAATGTGACAATTATAAGGCAACCTGCCCCCCAAAAAAAAAAATTATTCACTGAAAACACAACAAATGTCTCAAAATAATCTAATTTTTAAAATGGCATCTTGATTTTTTTTTCCTGAATTCTAGAATATTCAGTTAATTATTATTCCCCTGAAGTCTGCAAATCTAAATAGGTTTATTGAAACATAAGCAAAAAGAAGGAAAGTTCATTTATATTTCTCGGATGCCTTTTCTAATTTTAAGCTTGCAGGATTAATTTTAAGAAATTCAGGATTTCAGCAGCAAAATTACCTTGGTGGCACATAGGTTGTCCCATTTTTGATGAACCAATTTTGCTTTGTAAACTCTAATACGGATATGCAGAATTCTGCACTGCATATTGTGGTGGGAGGTCTTTCTTTTACATGAAGAGCATGCAAGTAACTGCTCTTACAGAATGTGTAATAGCTGTATGGCAAGGCCACCTATATTATACATGAGGCTAATGTCAATAGAAGCTGTTACATGCTGCTCTAACTGCATAAAGAATATTAAAGCAGTGTACACGTGAGGGGAAATTTGGCACAGCAGACAGTAAGCGTTATTGTGTTGAATCTTTCCAGATGCTATAGGGCTGAATTTTTATCTGAAAGTTAGACTTAAAATTCATGAACGAAACTGGTTCAGTTGTTTCTGGTTTATTTTGCATTCATTGCTATAGCTCAAGAGAATACCTATTACTCTAGCTGAATGTGTGTTGGTTTTCCTTCTGATGAACCCGGGAGATCTGCATGGGCAGTTTTTTAGACCTCAAAAAGGAAACAATAATCTAAAACAAATGTATGTGTAACATGGCGGGGTAGGGATGTGTTCCGTGTTCACGCAGGTGTTCTGTCTTAGGTTTGTGAGAATCCTGAGGGCAGGCATTCATTACTACCGATCTGAACAGAGCCCGCCATAAAGAAGCGTTCAGTTGTTTTGTCGCCTCTTGGCACAAAAGCATCACCAGTAATTGTCTTCAAGTGACGGTCTGCATATCCTTACAGAATCTAGGTCTTCCTGGTTTTGAAGCCACAGGCAACTTCAGCACCAAAAGGTGGCCTCCTTACGCTACCCATATTAAACTATGGGTTTCATGGGAGTGCCTGCTTTTTCTGCCACAGTGAGGTCAAGGACTCATTGCACCTGTATTTTTCTCAGCACCAGCCCTCACGTAGCTTGTGGTCCTTAGCTCAACCAAAGCTTCTGCTGTTGTCTTTTTCCTTTTTCGTTCATCGTTCCTCTTTTTTCTTTTCTCTCCCTAACCCATGAAGTTACCATCACTGGTTATTCTGCCCTTGACCGAGACAATACTGCCAAGTGGAGGAGCAGCACAAGGTTCAAGCCTCTCATGTAGTAGAAAAGCAGCTTTGGCTTGTAGAACTTCATTTCTTTAGGCAGGTGTGCTGTCAGATTTCCCACTCTTGTGGACACGTGTCACTTGCTTGGCATTAGTTCCCAAGGTGTTCAACAGCTCCCTCAGTCACAAGTGGCAGCCACTGTGGCATCAAGTAAGGCTCCATCTCAGATACCCAAAGATCGGTCAGTCCAGCTGCAGTGACCACTGTAGACGTTACCACGGCTTTTGAGGCCTATCAATAGCCTTCCAGAGGCTGTCTCCACTGCGAGCATCTGCCTGACCTCAGCAGGAGCACTGAGCCGTTCCCGAGGATCCGATGGTGGCTGCTGTGCACAGCTGGATCCTGTTGGGAGCCTTGTCTGTGTAAGGCCTCCATCTCTGGGCAGGCTGTGACCCTGGAGAGCTGCTTGGAAATACTGACACTGGAGGCATTGGCTCTGCGTCAACGATGAAAACCCATCGTTAAAGTAAACAGTTGTGGGAGATTTGCTTTCTGTTCTCCTTTGCATCCTCTGCTGGGCTTGCAAGTGACAAGGAGGGGAAGTCGCCACGCGCCCGGGGGCCAGTGATGTAGGGCAGACGGGGTCAGAGCACTTTGTAGCAATACTGCACTGGCTTAAAGGGTGGGGGGAATAAGATTAGCACGGCAACTTCACGATCCGGGGGAAGGGAAGGGTGATACTTAACTGTAAGCTCTTCGTACATGCAGTGTGTACGTTTAAGTTCAGTTTCTTGTGGCTTTCCTCCAGCCGTGGGCTGGGCTGCAGCGCTCGGGCCCTCCCCTGCCTGGCAAGAGCAAGGGCTCTCCACGGACAGCTGCTGGCCGGGGCACGCAGCCCGGCGCAGGTTTCTCTCGCTGCCGGGAGGAG